CTTCTCCCATTTTGCTGTGTCTCAAACATTTTCTTGATCTTCGTCAACACATTCTTACTGATATTCCAACGACATAATAATGTCGGCACTCGGGAATATCTTTTGTATGGCATTCATCAAGGCTGAGCTCTCTATCAGTAAAATAAGCTGTTGGCAACAACAAACCCATCCATGACATCACGTAATGTGGCTAACCCCACGCATATTAGTAGACCCTCTCATATGTAAGTATGCAAAAAGCTCACAGAGAATGTCATCTTCATTGATGTCACTCCCACATTTAAAGAAGAGGAAGCCGATATCTGTTGGTATTTATATGTGCAATCCATAATTAATATACGTGGGAAAGACCGAAATAAGTCAAACTGTAGGATGTGCCCAAACAAGTCAATGCACAGTCATCGTGGACTCTTCAACCGATGGCGCTCAATGTAATCTATACTTGGCCAATTCCACCCAATAAGTGTTGCATCTGTGATCTTCCAGCTCTCTGTACCACCCTGTTTCGATGGCGTAACATGGTAAATGGTTTATAGTGTGCTTACATTGAGGGCATCTCGCTGTTTCAAGGTTACTAGGATTTCTTTTGGCCGAACCATCTCTTGACATATCCATTTAACAATGCTTTCTCATCCTTGGATAGGCCTCCCCGCATTATGAATGTCCTCGAGGTGCTCCGCACGGGGATGATTAGTGCAATCCGCATACCTACAGTCAATGTCCATTCATCCTATGTGGTACCCTGTGAGCCCTCATATAAAAGGACAACCACACTTCTTCGTACCGGTTATTCTTGATTGTTTGTTGCCATAGTTTTAAACTTCTTTTTGCTCCTATATTGGCCACTCCTCTCAAAGCAAGATACATCCTGGTCTTTTTTCCCTCCACCATAGTCTGATGTTTTGATTACAATGACAAACATTTCTCTTTCCAACTTCACGTACCCAGTTGAGCAATCCATCCTTACTTTGAATACCTACAAAGTTAAATAAATATTATCAACATTTACATTTGGTGAGCAATTCAAAACACTAATCGTATAATTTCGTAGACTGAACCTGTTCAGTTGTGAAATGAGTGGTGTAATCTAACACAAAATTCGCGCAAACCTGACTCCCTTGAGTTGACCACATATTCCTGCATGTTTTGTATAACAATTACAAATTTTTATGGCATTATAAAGATAATTTGCAATTTGAAACTGTAAATTTGGTATGCAGTATTGCAAATTTGGACATATA